AAAAGCAGAAAAAAAAAAAAAAAAAAAAACCATCAGCGGGAATCGTTTTACAGATCAGACTGTTTGGAAGAAAGTCAAAATATGATCACCACAGGCTACCTAAAGAAGTGTCAGATTGTGCATATTGGCTAATTCTCACCTTCATACATTTTATATCAAGAATCTGCCGTGCTTTATTTTCTAAAGGAGACGGAATGCTACACTGACTCTCTTTAAGTTGCACAACAAAACAAAACAAAAAAAGCAAAGCTAAACTAAACTAAACAAAGCAAAACAGAAACAAAGCAAAACAAAACACACAAAAAAACAAAGCAAAACAAAGCAAAACAGAAACAAAACTAAACTAAACTAAACAAAGCAAAACAGAAACAAAGCAAAGCAAAACACACAAAAAAACAAAGCAAAGCAAAACAAAACAAAACAAAGCAAAACAGAAACAAAACTAAACTAAACAAAGCAAAACAAAACAAAGCAAAGCAAAACAGAAACAAAAGTAAACTAAACTAAACTAAACAAAGCAAAACAGAAACAAAGCAAAACAAAACACACACAAAAACAAAGCAAAACAAAACAAAACGAAGCAAAACAAAGCAAAACAAAACAAAGCAAAACAGAACAGAAACAAAACAAAAAGCAAAACAGAAACAAAACAAAACAAAACAAAACAAAGCAGAACAGAAACAACGCTAAACAAAGCAAAACAAAACAAAACACACAAAAAACAAAGCAAAACAAAACAAAACAAAACGAAGCAAAACAGAAACAAAACAAAACAAAACAAAACAAAGCAGAACAGAAACAACGCTAAACAAAGCAAAACAAAACAAAACACACAAAAAACAAAGCAAAACAAAACAAAACAAAACGAAGCAAAACAGAAACAAAACAAAACAAAACAAAACAAAGCAGAACAGAAACAACGCTAAACAAAGCAAAACAAAACAAAACACACAAAAAACAAAGCAAAACAAAACAAAACAAAACGAAGCAAAACAGAAACAAAACAAAACAAAACAAAACAAAGCAGAACAGAAACAACGCTAAACAAAGCAAAACAAAACAAAACACACAAAAAACAAAGCAAAACAAAACAAAACAAAACGAAGCAAAACAGAAACAAAACAAAACAGAACAGAAACAAAGCTAAACAAAGCAAAACAAAACAAAACACACAAAAAAAAAACAAAGCAAGACCAAACAAAAAACAAAGCAAAAAACAAACAAAAACTCAAGTTTAACTGTACAGTCAGTTTATAAAATATATTTAGTACTGTGTCCTAGTTTTACATTCATGCATTCATGGATTTAGGCTAGATCTGTATTATTATTATTAGGCCTATTATCATCATCATCATCATCATCATCATTATTATTTGTATTTTAAATCGACTGAAAAAGTTCATTTTGCATTTAGGAGCAATAAACAATGTCTTGTTTTATTGTTATTTCTCTCAAAGATAAAAAAAAATAATCATCAGACTATTTTTCGTTGTCATGCAGCACTTTATTTTGACTCTAAGATAATTTTTTTTGTGAATGTTGTTGAATTTCATATAAATATTTGATATAAAAACATATATATTTGGAAAACATAAACCCTGTTTTAATGTTTTTATAACTTTGTACTTAAGAATTAGGAATTAGAAAAGTTTTTTTTCTTCTTTCAGTTATTTATTTATTTATTTTTTATTCAAATGGAATTGGAACCTCAATAAAATCTGTAATTTGATATGGATGTGCTTGGCTTCTTGATCTTCAGTAAAATGAATAAAAACAGTGCATCATAATAACATAAAAAGAAAAATTGTGTCTTTTGGTCTTTCTTTTAGTGAATGGGTATACACATCATTGAACTGTTGAAACCTCTTCAAGTAAACCATGCACAGCTAGTTACAGCAAAAAACTTACATAAACTGGATATTATCCATGACTTCTGATTCCACATATTTCTGAATTCGCCTATTTGTCAGCACAGCTGTAGAAATAATTCATCTTTTTTTCATGTTTTTTGTTTTGTCCACCTTATGTAAGCAGTGATCTCTAACATTGCACAACAACAAAGGCTTTTTAAGTGCTACTTTAGCGCATCACTTCCTCTAAAAAGTGTAATCAGGGTCAAAGGTGGACAGCACAGACTCCTTATCTGTGTAACTTCTGACTCGGAGGGACAGCTGAGGATTAGACATGCTTTGATCAAGGGACTGGAGAGGTATTTTGAGAACTGAGGGCTACGATCACCAGTGACTGCCCAAATTCCTTACTGATCACTTTAAATCAGGGCTTCCTTAGAAGCACAATGACTTACAGAGAGAGCTGCCAGCACTGGCCCATAAGCACCGTTTGGAAATCTTATCCAAGTATCTCAGATGCCATAAAGTAATCAGGAAGGTGCTTTTTTCAGGCCATATACACTTCAAAACTTCAAAGGCTCGACAATAGTTAACTACCTTGGTTATCACGATCAACAATTGCAATGTCATTTCAGTCATACTTCATGATAAGAACACCATTGTGATGCCTTCCTCATTATCATGAGACATTTCACCACTGACAGTCCCAAGCGCTCATTGGTGGCTATACGGCAAATGTTTGATCACCGGAAAACTGGTAAAACATTTACAGAAAGTTAAATTGTCCTCTTTTTGGATTTGAGTGTGGATAGGGGTAATAAAAAAAGTACAAATCACAGCAAAAAAAAGAATAAGAGAGAAAAAAGACCCACTTACATACATCGTGCTTGGCACTGGATAAAAAATATTTTAAATAATAGATGGTGTCTCAAATATATGCATGAGACAATAAGAAGCAGATACCTCAATTATCAACATTTTTGTTATGTAATATCAGTGTTGGGAAGGTTACTTTGGAAATGTAATAGGTTACAGATTACAAGTTACCCTATTTAAAATGTAATAGTAGTGTAACTTTTTCAATTACTTTATTAAAGTAATGTAACTGATTACTTTTGATTACTTTTTGATTACTTTTCTAAATTTCTAATGAATGTTTATTTGCAACTGTTAATCATTTTCAAACATTTACACCATGCAGGGTTAACCTTACAGTAGTGCTCAGACTTTCAAAATCCTTCATCACTTGAATTAAGATGATAAAATCTGAACACATCCACCACAGAATCAGACTTTAGTACCGCCTTTTACTTTGAGATTGATCTGAAGTTCAATGCAGATTTAAAATCATAAGAAATAGTTTACTGATACTATTTTTGAAACCAAATCTTTGCATAACTACAGGAAACACTGCATCTAACAATGGTTTGGAAAAAAAATACAGTTAATTGAAAAAATAAAATAAAAGCATATACATCAACCCAAATATGGTTATAACAATAATAATAATTAATTAATAATAAAGAAATTGTAAAATGCTCATGAAGTGACTCAGAGCAGTTCTAGAGATTATGTTTTTGTGTTCATGTACTCATATATATATATCAGTTCATATTTATTTTATTTCAAGTAAGGAAAACTTTTTTATGGCTTTCAGTTTTAGTTTTAGTTAACTATAAAATAACCCTGGTTCTAATGACGTGGGTGAATAAATTACAACAATCTTCAATTTTTTTAATGAACTATCCCTTTAAAAGCATGAAATGTCTTTTTTGAAATGTGCTACTACTATTCAAACGTTTCGGGTCAATGAGATTTTTTTTTCTTTTTTTTTTTTTAATGTTTTTAATGAGTCTTTTTTCTCACCAAGGCTGCATTTATATGATCAGTAAAAGCAGTAATATTATTAAATATTACAATTAAAAATACATTTTCTGTTCGATTATATTTTCAAATATAATTTATTCCTGTGATAGAAAAGGTGAATTTTCAACAGCCTTTACTCCAGTCTTTTTCATTCAGACAAACAAACAAACAAACAAACAAACAAAATAAATATGCTGACTCCAAACCTTATATATATGTCTAATGTATGTCTTTTGTCTTTTATATTACAGATCATCTGAAGAGTTTGGGACTGTTTGCATCTTTGTGGTGCCATCAGCAAATCAGGGTTGCTGAACACAGTTGCTGGTTCGATCTCAGCTTGGAATGATCCTGCGGGATTGTCCTTGTCTGTTAAATGACTGCTTACTTTCATCAAAAGCTGATGAGGTACTTGGCAATGGCTTTGGTCCACATTGTCTGGCCATGTTTGATGATGTTGAATCAGGCCGAGCAGAAAATTCAAATACTTTTTAAATGAATCGATACCTCAATAAGAGGGATTCTTTATTCACGCCATCGTGAATCCAGACACATTATTTGTGTCAGAGCAAAGCATATCATCTCCAGAGTTAAAGAGAGTGACTCAGACAGTAAGTATTGCCAGAATTCAACACTCACTCAGTTTTTGAGCAGCTATTTTCCAGGCTGTCTGCTGGTCGCCCGTGCCAATGAAAGACTCCGGTCTGCAGCATGCAAGCCATTTAATGAGAGTTCTGTGCT